ATTTAAATGTGCAAAAGGAGCAAATTATTATATAGAAGTCTGGTAAATTGTACTTCAGCAGTATATAATATTCATTAATAATAATATAAATTGTATTTTAGACTTTAGACTGAGAAAGTTAAAAAATATAAATTAAAAACTTAATGAATTAAAATCTATTATATGTGATTAAAAATTTGCGACATGCTTTTGTTCTCTTAAAGTTATAATATTTTTTTAACAATATTGTTTCTGTTCCATTCACAAGCATGAAAAGGCTATTTGATTTGTTGAGAATATTTAAAAAATTTAATATTTTTTAGTATTTTAAGTAAAAATATTGAAGCCCCCAGATTGGGACTAATGTTCAATTAAACAAAAAATTTATGTATAAATTTTTGTTGACTTGCGAAAATCATTTTACCGGAAAATATTCTAACGTAATATTAAAATTTAATGATTTGGTACTAATTTTATAGTATCATGTTATAGTTGAAAGATTGAATATTTTAAATAAATGCTGAGGTGTTGGAGCTGTGACTGGAGCAGCGTATTTCTGCTGCCAAAAATTTAACACTCATTAAAACTTTGTTCAGTATATGGACACTATTTGGTCCATATACCAAAGAAAATTTTATGATTTTCAAGTCTTGTATCATACTTGAAATTAAAACTTATAGTTAATAAACTATTTAGACGCTTGATATCCTTCCTATTTCACCAAAAATAGTGAGTGTCAAATGTTTAATTCAGCATTGTATAAATGGCTAGTTTTTTAATCAATTCCAAAAGAAAATAGTTTAAAATTTTTTTTCAATATTTTTCCTTTAGAAATCAGAAAACGACAATCGAAGGAAAAACAAATAATAATAACAAGAAAAAAGAAAATTTTCTACTCGAATATCCTGTTTACGATTCTATGGTACTTGAAGTTTTTCTTTCTTATATATTTATTTTCTTATTATATATAGTATTTACCTTCGAATTTATCATAATATGTGTTATTGTGTATATGTATGTAGATATGTTGGCATAATTTTAAAGTTTTTGTATATGAAAATTCATTCTTTTGTTTAACTTTTGAGAAATTTCATGAATACAGGAAGAAAATAAAAAATAAATTTGTGTATATGTATATGGTAAGAATTGATCAATTTTCCTCTTATATTAAAATTAAATACATATATATATATAAATATTATATAAGAGAAATAAGTAAAATAATGATAATTTTGAAAAATTATATAAGTAGGTGTATAATAAAAATATATTGATGCTTAAAACAATTCCTTTAACGTTTTCAATTCGATAATTTAGTTTTAAGGGTAATGATTACTTTTGATACTGAAAAATATAAAGGGTTTTAAGCTATAAGAGAATTGTACGACCGATTATCAAAAACAAACATTCGAATAAGAAATTTGAATAGGAAATGAAGTATTTGATGTATTTTAATGTATTGAGACGCATTTTTGATTTCCAGAATGTAGGACATTAATAATTTTAATATTAAGATGATGATTAACGTATGCATCAACAAATTTTAAAAAATTTGAAAGCAATACATGACAATTTGTATGATTCTCTCTGTATGAAGAGAATTTTATGAAGAAATGCTACTTCTATCCAATCAATCTGGAATTTTTTCAAGAAATATTCGTATGACGTTATGTTTGTGTCTTAAATTTTCATGCTACCATTGTTTTTTATGCTACCATTTAGCTTATAAATTAGAATTTTTGTAATTCAAAAATTTTTGCGTTATTATCTGAGTAATAATTCTTGTGGTTTATAATTAGTATTATTTTTCTATTGCTCTTTGAAAATCACACGTACTCGTATATTTCTTTTTTTCACAATATTTGAAAAGTATTTCCTCAGTTTATAACAAAAAAAATCGTAATTAACAAGAAAAACTGTTTAACTTTTTGAAAATTTTTCGGGTATTAAGCCTTATACTGCGGGAGTGCGTTCTAATTGCCATGGTATTATGCAACTTTCAAGCTAAATATCTCCAATTTAAATTTCGAGCGTTTTTGCTAAAATATTACATTTTCCTGAGGCTCCAACAATTAATAGCACTTTCATTCGACTCTTTATTCAATCAAATTGTACAAGTATTTGAAAAACCACTAGCAGGTTATATAATACGAGTATAATTGAATTTTTTGATAATTTTTCATTTTTTTAATAGAGAACTTTTAAACCAAATATTTTATTAATATTAGGATAGCAGAATCTTTGAAATTCAAATGAATTTTAACATTACACGTACTACAAATTTTTAATTCTCTTAATACAAATTTATCCGCGTTATTAATACCACTTAATTATAAACCCAAGAATACTTTTTCTTTTAATTAAATAATCTCAAATAATATTATGAAAATTCATAATATTATGTTACAACAATTTATGTACATTGAACCCTAAATTTCAGCCCTAATTTTTTTTTTTAAATAAAATATGCTTATTACAGGAAACTAAGACAAATCTGAAATAAAAATTTCTTTTCTTCATAAGATAATAAAATTGTTATAAGATATGGCCGAAAAGCTTTTATTTTTATAGCCCTAAATAAAAAAGGTCTGAGATGAAAAAAAAACAAGAAGATTTTTTATTTGAATCTATATGCTATACACAGAAATTCAAATAATAAAGGAAAAACTACGAAAGTAAAAGATGAAAATCTTAAATTACAAGTAAAATGAAAATTTACTATAAGGTAAACAGATTTGTTTTCCCATTTGTTTTTGCATTTTATTTTTGTTTTTTTTTTCTACTTCATGTTAAAAATAACATGAAGGCTAAAGGTTATGATTTAGCACCTGAAATCTTAGGTTTCTTTTTTCTAATTTTGTTTATTCTCTCATTTTTACATAGTAAGATTTTTGACATTTAAAGTGCAATTAACAATACTTTTTATGTACATTACATTTTTTCCAATTTTTTTCCATATTATTTTCCTTCTAGTTTATTATTATGAATTTTCCTTTCGCATATTTTAACTTTTTCTTTTATAAGTATGACAAATATACTTTTATTTAAAGAAAAATTGTAATGAATATGAGAGATAAAATATTTAAAAATGCACCTAGGTACAAATAATACGTTTGCAGTTAAATATGCTTAACAGTATAACAGTTTTATATTTAGTGTAGAGTACAGAGCAAATAATTAAGAAACTTGTCTGTACAATGAGAATATTGTAATTTGAACATATTTATGCAAATCTAGTGGATTTTTTGTGTGAATTCTACTGGAATTCTTAAACTTTTTAATTGTTTTTTAATTTTTAGTAACCTTTTAAACTATGTATTTCTAAAGTCAAGAAGAATTTCATAAATTTTTAATCAATTACAAAAATTAAATTGGCAAATTAGAAATAGCTCATAGCTTAAATGGCAAATTTTTCCAACTGCAATATTAAATTAATATTTTCCAAAATTTTATATTGTCAAGTTAATTTTAATAAATCCAGCTTAAATACGACATAATCTTTCAAAATAAAATTTTCAGACACTAAATTTATCCAAGAATCACTGTAAAAGCTACATAATAAAAATAAAAATAAAATGGTACAACAACAATATTAAAGATAAGGATTTAGATAAAATGAGAGAGAAGAACTGCTAGGAAAATTAACAACAATTAAAATGGTTTTTTAGTAAAATAAAATAAAAGAAAATTATAATATGCAGCTGAGATCATCTCAAAAACGCCACCGCCATAATGGAGAATAAAAAGGGGACAAAATAGTAACATAAAACGATAAATGAAAATATATAAAATTTAAAAAAGTCTTAAAAAAAAGTTGAAAAATTTTCCAAAAAAAAAAAAAATGAAAATCCTCATGGTGGATAAAAAGAGGAGGAAAAAATATAATGAATTTTATTGCAATATAGCCAAGTTTTTTTTCTTCTCAACTTGGCAAAGTGCAATTAATGCTATTAAAAAACAAGGGAGTAGAGCAAAATTATAATTGAATATTTAAAATAACAAAAATAACAAAAAAAAAATTCGAGTAAAACCAAAAATTGTAATTAAAAACAAAATTGTCTAGTCTGTTTTTATGACTATTTTTGCTTTTTTTCTATTCGCCATAAGAACTTTAACTCTTATTCAATTCAAATTTAAATTTGAAATTTATGTAAAATAAGAATGGCTCTTATAATTGTTATTTTGAAAAACAAAATGTAACACTTTTAAAAATTGCAGACTAAGACGAATACAAAGATGGCATTAAACTTTCAATTGCCTATTTAAAAACAATTTTGAATCAGAATTTGTAAAAGAATTGCTTAAAAGTGCAAAGAATTTTAAAGAAAATTGTAATATTCGGGTTTTTATAAGGAATACGTTGACCCCCTATTGACTGAATATGTATGAGCAAATAAAGTGTTAGATGTATGAGCAAAGTATTTTTATTCAATAAGTAAAATTATAATTAAAATTTTGTTGATAAATAATTGAATATTAGAGTGCATTCTGGTCATTCAAGATAATCTTAATTTCGTTTAATAAGTTTTAATTAATTAAAATTTATTTAATAATTTTGAAAACCTCAATATGCCATTATTATTATTCTTCATATAGTGAATCTTCCAAAAATGCTCCTGCATGAGCATATTGTTTATTTAATAATTATTATACTTAAAACGGCAAATAGCTGATTATTTTTCAAAGTTTACAATAGTCAAAACTCTTACTTCATTAATATTTTTAATTTGATCTTATTTTATGCGATATTTTACTTTAAAATATTTTGTTATTAATTTCGATTTCTTTCAACGCTTACATATACTTGATTTCACTGAACCTTACTTAACAATTTCAAAATTATACAACTACAAAATATTTCTCCCTTAAATCTAAATCTTTTAAATTAAATCTTTTCGTCCTTTTAAGTAAAAATATCATTGTATCACACTTAAAATTTTATTAATGTAGGTAAATAATCCAAAAATGGAAAAAAAAAACAAAGCAAAAATTAAAAATAAATATACGAAATTTTAACTTACTTGCAAAATAGGCCAACATAGCCGTTAGGACGACTGCTACTAGTATTAAGGCAATACTTAAACATTTCCAGGAACATCTGTGCTGACATCTTTTGTCTATGTGAAACCTGCAATTATAAAATAAGAGAAAAAGATTGCGAATTATTAAAAGTTTTTTTTTTTTTTCATTATAGAAACAGGAGAATTAAATTTTTTTTATTTTTTTTTTTTAAGAAAAACATTCTCCTTTCTTTTTAATTTATTCTTTTTTCATTTTCAAGTTGAAAATTAAATTAAGAATACAACAATGCAAGTTGAATGTAAAAGTAAGAATTAAATGAACAAAAATGTAACATTATTAGTTGATAAGGGAAAAGTTTGTCATGAGAAGACTTTAATTTTTCGACGCTAATTAGAGGTGTATAATAGAATTACCAGTTTGCTTGTGACGGTATGAGTTAACTTGGGGAGCTAATTTCAATAATGTTCCCAATTTATTGCTGTTAAGCATTTTTATCAGCTTTTGGAATTGTTTATTTAAACCATTTTCGAAACTAAATGAAATATTGACCAAAGACTACAATATTTTCACATTATTTTACTAAATATTTTATTCTTAAAATGTGGCCCCATATAAACTGTTCTTGAATAATGACTTTTTTTTCACTTAATCGAATGTTAATATTCAAATAAAATCTAATTTTTTACGTGACTTTGAAAATATTTTAGAAAAGATCCAGGTATGATATTATTGCTATATAAAATTTAAAATTTCCTAAGGTTCCTATAAAATTTATACGAACTTATAACTATAAATAATATGTAATTGTTGCAATTAACCATTTTATTTAGTATTCCAGAGCGTTAACTCTAAATGAGAGCCTTTTCCAACAATATTTATAGTTAACAATATTAAGAGCGGCGAAAACAATTAACTTTTAATGAGTTTGGGGAATTAGAAGAGAGCATTCCTGACAGTATTCGCGCTCCGCAGTTGACAATATTGAGAAAGGTGGAATATATCCCTTAAAGAAATGAGATCAATATTTCCCTCAAAGGAATGAGACTTAATGCTAACAGTTCACGTTTACATTTGTTGCGATCAAACCCGATCGTGTTAATTCTCTGTTTTCCTTTCTCTATTTCCCCGTTAACTCTATTTGAATCCACCGAAATCACGCTCTACTATCTACCCATATATAGCGAACGTTAGCGAAAAATACAAGAAATTATAAGCGCAAAATGATAACAAATAAAAACTGAAAAAAATTTAATAAACAAAAAAAAAACTCTAAAATGAGGAAAAAAGGGCAATATGGTTTTTTTGCAACAAAAAAAATAAAATAAAAAATTCATTTAAATTAGAAATAATGGTGACAGCGTGGTAAGCATGGCATTGTTACAAAAAGTCATACTGGATTATCCAAGTGTATACGTATGTATGTGTATGTAAATATAAGAGTTAAGAGTAAGAAGAAAACTAAATATGGCATGGATTATATAGAAAATAATTGCCTGTCTCTGATTTTTTTTTATTATGCTTTTGTTTTAATTTCATTTTTGCTACGATCTATATGCTTTTTCTCTACGCTCTTATTTAAGAAGACAAGGCGAGTTATTATGATGGCTAAACAAATTTACCAGAAGGGATATTCTCATTTTCCATTATTTAGATATTCATATACAAAAATATGTATGTATATAAAATTCAGTATAATAGGTTCACAGAAATTAAAATTGTAATTATATATACATAAAACATTAAATAACGGGTAAAGGTATATAAATCAACATAAAACATACATACTAACACACATTTTATATAATAACAACAAGAAATTGCTTGGAATATTCAATTATATAACATTCAGACTATACCACAAAGGAAAGAAAATACATTGTTTTGTTTTGTAAGGGAATTAAGAAAATGTCTTAAGAATTAAGGATTTTACAAAAAAGAATAAAAACCAAATTTAATATCAATTAAGGGATATGTTAGGAGCACGTCTTCCTGAAAAATATTATAGTGTCTAAATGTATAATGACATTTCTTAAGGCATTTCGAATTCCATAAATATTAAGAGATAATAAATTTAGAAGCTCCAGGAGCGTATGTAGAATTTCTATGCATTGATTAGCAAATCAACTGATTTTACAACCTTAACAATGTGTTATCTAACACAAAATTTAGTACGAATTCGAAAATGTGCCATTATAAAATTTAGAGTATTATTTGCATTATGTACTAGGAGTGCTCATATTTGGATTATAGAAATATCATGTAAGACATATAGGAAGATGTACTGAAATTTCTCCATACTTGTGGGGTAAGATGTACTGAAATTTCTTAAAACACAATAGTCAGAAACGCATATTTTAATTAATTCATGACGATAACTCTCCTGACTTATAATTATATTATATGTATGTATATTAAATATATTTTGCAATTTGCGAAAAATGTACTTAAAAAGACAAATAGATAAAATGTAAGAAAAAAGAATAAAACATGGATAATGTACTATAACAATGAGTCCTTGTAATAATAAATTAGGATTTAATGATTCAATTTGAATCCGATTAATTAAAGTTTGAGTTAATTTTGTTTAGAAAATTTTCTACACAGTCTAATTTTTATTTTCATTTTGTTGAAAGAATTTTTATTACAGAATGTAATTGGTATGTTATAATACTAATAATAACAACAATAATTTCTTATCCTTGTAATACTTTAAAGGAATTTGAACTCATTGAGTCAACAATAATCGATAGATAAGTCAATTTTTGAGTTTTTGATTCAAATAACTTAAATACTAAATTCTTAGTGAAATATCAAAGAAATTGGAGCGAGCTGGAAAAACTATTGTTAATAGAGTTTTTCATGAGAAATTTCACTAATGCTGAACACTTGCATAATAACAATCCTGCCTTAAAAGAAGTAGAAAGTGTTCAATGTTTAATTTTCCATTTGAAATTCCATAACCTTCAATTTCAAAATTTCGAGTAAAAATTCTTCCAACTGAAAGTTTATATTTAATTTAATAATTTCTATTTGATTTAAAATAAAATATTTTTAAAGAAATTTAACGAAAAAATAAAAATAAGAGAAAATTTAAAAACGGAAAAATAGTTGATAGAGAAATCAAGTCATCGAATTTTAATTAAATTTGAAATGATAAAAAAAAATTATTCATTTTGATTTCATTCATAATATTTTTTTCAAAACAAAAAAAAAAAACCAAAAAAAAATAAAATTTCAATTTCTTTGAAACGTGACCAAAAATTTTCCATAGAAAAAATCTAAAAATTTTTCAATGTTTTTTTATTTAATAAAATATTTTGCTTGCCTTTGCAAGATCTTTGTTCTTTCTCCCATGCTTCTTTTCGAACACGTAAATTAAAAGTAAAATGTATGTGAAAAATACAAAAATATTGAAAATATTCTCTGCATACTTATAGGGGTAAGTAATTTGCTTCCTACGTATAGAATCAATTGTTGACTCTTACATTAAACTGTGAAATCTTAAAACTTTCAATAGGAATATGAAGAACGTAGATTTCTACTGATATTGTAGAAACTTGTTATATTTAAAATTAAAGAACTACAGTGTTTTAAGTTAAGGTATCGTACACTAAATTCAAAAAAAGAGAGCAGCAACAAATTTTCGGAGCTTTGTAGTTAGATTTTATTGCAGTTTTTATTAGTATTTCTGAAGATATTAAGTGTTAAGCTTTCAAAAACCAATAATCTATTCCTCACAATAAGCAATTAATGATATTTTCTGTATGAGGTTCCAAAATCATTTATAATTGAGTATTCTGGGGTAGTAGAAACAACGTTTTGAAATTATTGAATGAAACCTATACACTTTATTTCGCTGCATTCTCTTTCTTAAATTTAAAAGGAAAGAGTTAAATAACGTAATTTGCTAAATTTGGAATCGTATTGTGAACATTAACATTTATTTTTGGGTATTAGCACTCTGTGAGGCTTTTACCTTGTATCATTTTGTGCTTAGAACCCTCCGTTGTGTTAAATAGTCTACATCTGGTCTGTGAAATGACCACTAGTTTGATTGTGTAAGAAAAATCTTATTTCGATAACCTGAGCAATTCTACACGATATGAGTAACTGGGTTATTCATAGATTTCAAATATTAATTTTTTTTTTTATGATTTCCTTATTATGATTTCTGGAAAAGATTGTTTTTGCCAATTTTACGTTTTTTTTTTTAAATTTATGTATGGAAAATTGTCTTCTCATTTCATTTTCAAAATAAATAATGAAAAACTGCAACAAAAACTGAAAAGAAAAGAAAACGAAATTTATTCTTTAGAATTTGGTAGTGTCTTTCTCTTTTCTCTTTTGACTATTATAAATCTATTACCCTGATATATATTCTAAATAAAATGTCCTTTAAATTCATATATAAGGTCCGAGAAGAAAATTAAGAGTTTAAAAAAATTCTTTAGATAAAAAAACAAAATATATGACTCTTTCCTTTTCAAATTTTAATAATTTCAATTCAATTCAATATTTTTTTTTTCTTATTTTTTTGTGTATCAATAAGATTTGGGTCAAACCTCAAAATGTAAACCACATGATTTTTTTTTTGGAAAAATTTTCAAAAATTTAATAATATTTACACTTGATTATTTAAAATTTATATAAGAATAAGGTAGATGAATATATTGTGTATTTAAGGTAAGGTACGTAAACTGTATTTGTATATGTGTGTTATATGTTCTTAAATAAAAAAAATATTATATATACATACAAACATACCATGTAACATGAAATCTCATATATGCACAATGTATACCTATATACATAATAGATAATATTTTGTGCCATGAACGAATCGGAAGAAGAAAGTTAAAAATTTAACAATGATGATTGAAATATTGGGAATGAAATTGAAATGCTTTGAACCGTAAAATAAATGTGTCATATCAAATAAATATTATATCTAAATATTATCTATGTAGAGATAATATGTAATTGAATTACTTATATGTACGAATATGAAATATTTAAATAAGATCTTCCAGTAAGAATATTCATAATTTCAAACTTTAAAAATTGAATCAGAAGCACGAGTCTAATTATAAAAGAAGCATGTTTAAG